AGAATAAGAAATAATATGAACTCCCAAGATGTTTCAAAAATCATAACTTAATCTCAAGATGTTTCTATTTCACAAAATACAGATGTAAAGAAAACAAAGATACGACATTTCTAATAACATATGTACCGTACAAGCATGCCCAAAAATATATTCTTGGCATTCTTAAATTAATTTTACTTTATTTGAGATTAAATAATAATTAAGTTAATTTAAGATGGATGGCGAAAATCACAACTTAGAAATCCAATGGATTTTTGGTAAACTCATCAAATGGTCAAAACAAATCTCACACCTTAAAAAATTGTATTATTATTTATTCCCTCTATTTAAAACCCCAACATTTTTATATCAACTCATTTTAAGGTGATTACACACGATGTTGTCTAATCTTAACTTTTCTGTATTGCACGACTAACTATTGAGTGAGAAATCCAAAACATGAAAGTGTGGAGATTGCAAATTCCCACACTCACGCTTTATACATCATCACTTAATACTTAGTGAGAAATATATAAATCCTAAGAGTTTGAAAATTCAAGTTTTAACTATCCAATGATGTTATCTCTTCTCAATGTATCATATTCACAAACTCGTAGGTAATAAGTTTTCACATCTTACATCCACCACCATCTCAGCTAAAAGCTTACCATGTTAATTAACACAAACGTCTGATAGTAAACTCCTAATTCCCGTGAGTTACATGTGTAATCCAAAATGATACGGTTAATATCACCCACAACTGAAACATTATATTAAGAATCATCCTAATATATTGCCAACATCATTAAAACATCAATCTCATATTGATAACAACTCTGTAAAGAGTATGGGCTAAAGATTCCAATTTAAGAATCGTATTTCATGAAAATTTGGTTCAACTAGATAATTGTGGAAGTGTAAGATCAAAATTACTAAATAATCTTTTGACCACTTTTAAAACTCACTAACAAGAGCGTCCTCAAATATTGAACACCAAAAGAAGTCATGCAGAGAAGTTACGTAGTCAAACATCTCATAAAATACAAAGATACAGACTGTACATATTTTCCGGCATCTGAATTTTTGAAACAGACATGTGATTTATTATCCAGAAATCTAATTGTTTAGATCTAGTGTCTGAATTTGAAACAACAGAGAACAAAAATATGGAAAACATTATAGAAATAATAATAGATATTTAACCTCGGCGTCTGATTTTTGAACCATATGTTTGAATCCCATAACCAGACATCTCAAAACTAGATGTTTAACAGAGAACAAATTTTAACAAATATGTCTGATTTTAACAAATTTAACCTCGGCGTCTGATTTTTGAACCATATGTCTGAATTTGAAACAACAGAGAACAAAAATATGGAAAACATTATAGAAATAATAGATGTTTAACAAATTTTAACCTAAAATTTCATGTATCTTTATCATGCAATTTTTAGGGATATTCTCATATACCTTTCAACATGAACTCACGAGTCTATCATGGATAGAAGTTATATCATGATCATTACTGCCTGTGAAAATGCACGTGTTGTAAGTGCACAACTGAGTTATAGTATAAAAAATAGGGAAAATTTGTAAAATAGACCGTTTTTATAAAGTAATTAGCGAAATAGACCGTTTTTTGAAGTAATTAGCAAAATAGACCGTTTTTTGGCAAAAGAGGTCGATTTTGAAAAAGGGTTCAGAAAACATACGGGACTACTAGTCCCGTATGTTTAATCTCATGATTAGTCCACTCAGAAAATATACGGGACTACTAGTCCCGTATATTTTCTGTTTGCTAACAAAACGTACGGGACTAGTAGTCCCGCACGTTTTGTAGAGCAGCTAAAGCCACTGCCCAGCAAATCCACGGGACTACTAGTCCCGTGGATTTGCTGGGCAGGATCAAACATACACCAAACATGCATGGACCTCATTTATCGATTACAACCAAAATTTTCGCCAAAAAGATATCATTTACAATATCACAACACAAATCTCATCATAGAGTACATCACCAATCACAACACAAATCCAACGGAATACACATCACATCCAAAATCCGACAAAAATACACATCACAAATCCATACGATAATATATATCAGTCTAAGCTAAACAAATCCAAATGTCTCAAGTCGACCCATACGATAATATGTAGTTTAAGATAAAAAAATCCAAGGTCAATAAATCCATACGACATTATATATCTTAGTGGAAAAACTAATAAATAAAAAATCCACCCCTCCCCCGTTGTCTCTCTCTTCGCACTCGTTGAGATCGTCGGCGTCCTCCTTCGACTTGAGCTTGAATATGCTCGCTCTCCGGTTGTGTGTGGGGCTGTGATGGACCGACTTGCTGTGACGAACCGGCTTCATCGTCGTGAGTGCAAGGTCTACGCGCCTACGTCGGCGTACATATAGAGTTTCGTCAAGATCCACCTGCTCACGACCGTCATGTCGATCCTCATAAGTTTGTTGAAAAGCTTTACGAACTCTCGCCACTATCCGATGCAATATCGATACATGTACTGAATCTCCTGTGGCGGTAGCTATGCCCTCATTTGCAATCCCCTCGACCTCATCCATAGCATCTATCTACAATTACATTAAAATATTGATATTAGAAACCATAAGCTAAGAAGAGATTGACATTCTATGATAATTTTGACAATTTAACTTACCCATCGTCGCTCATCTACCCCTCTTGGTACATATCGGGATTGTTGGGAGCGAATCTCGATTTCGTCGACTGGAGGCGTAGTTTGAGTGATTATCCAACGTCTGGTAATCCCCCAATACCATTTAATGTAATCAACTTCTTCCATCGGAGGATAAAGCGGATCGACAATAAGTTGATGCCGATCATTCCACCGAGCTATGTATGATTGATGCGTGCGCTGCCAGTCAATCTGATGTCCACCTTTAGTCGCCTTTCTCTCTATTTTTTCGACATATTGTGGAGCATGTTGCGTGAGTCCAAACTGTCTAAACACGTGATCGGGTACGTGCATCTCCACAATCTCGAAACAAACGAGAGGAACTCTGGCCCTCCATATGTCGTGGCCCTCCATACAAATCAGCGGTAGACGAGGTAGGTGAGGGGTGTATGGCTGCCACTCGAACTGCAAAAAAATCCAAATGTTAATATCTCTTTGAAATATATTGATATCATAGAGTACTTCAATTCAAATTCGATACCTGAAAAATTTTCATCCGGTCGAGCTCCCCTCTGTAAAAGTCTAATTGCCTAGCCGGGGTCTCATCATAAGCTTTTGTGACATTCCATCTGCAAGAAATGTTTCCTTGTTCAAAATGTTAAATTTAAAATTAAATACAAATGAGATTCAATTTGATGCTTTTTACCTGCAGCCTAGTGGAATATGTCCATCTAACTCTCGAATCTCGCATAATCGTGGTTTCAAAACCAATCTTTCCCATGCCCAAACTTGTAGCAATGTTAAACAACCCTTGAGCTCCTTATTCTGCATTAAAGCAACCTTTGACATTTCTCGATATAGGTATGCTAAAACAGCACTACCCCAGGATAATGTCCCGCACATGTCGAAGTCTTCGATAAGTGGTAACCACCTAGCGCGAGTTCAAATACGTTAGTCATGTATACTAAGAATAGTGAGCAAAAATCAATACTTAATGTTTACTTACCTCAAATGGACTTTATGTTTACTTGAATCAGGAAAAAGAAGTGTCCTGATCATGTGCATAATATATGCTCTCGCATGCTTTTGGATCATCACTTCAGGTGCATCTTGTGGCAACGGGTTTCCAAAACTCTCCTTAAGCCACTTCAATCTAATATACCCTTCAGGCAAGGACTCCGGAGATATTCCTAATAAATTATTACATGTGTCCCTCCAAACATGCCTATCAGTCCCCGTGATACAAGGGCTATCAATGCGGAGACCTAGGATCACTGCTACATCCTGGAGAGTAATAGTTGTCTCGCCGACACGTAGATGGAAAGTATTAGTCTCCGGCCTCCATCTATCCATCAACACGTTAAGCAGTGCCCAATCGAGCTTCATCCATTTCAATTTTGAGCAAGTAAGAAAACCGGCTTGGGTGGCCAGCGCGTATGTCCAAGGCTATAATTAATCATAACCAGCTCTTGTCCTCTCTGCACATAAATGAATACAAAGATTATAAAAATGAATAAGTAATATGTGACTGTAAATATGTTATCATTACCGATGTAAATGATATGCTCTCCGAACGGTGGCGTGACTGATCATAAAGGACTTCATCATTATCCGGTCCGGGAAGCATCGTGTATATACCTGCACATATAACGGTAACTTATGAGTTTCTGCCAAATCAAATACATATGAACAATGTATCTACTTGCTAAATCAATAACATATAATGATGACATATCATTAGAAAATATTTTACTTACAAATTAATTGCTATCTACTTGCTCTTGATGGACAACAAGACCTATTATGTCCTAATTGATTACATTGTCCACATCGGATTCCTGACGCTACTCCTTCACGACCTTGATCCATGGTAGATCTAATGCGTACGGATTTTGGTCGTCCAGCTTGTCTTTTGTGCTTAGGTGGTAATAAGTACGGTATATATAATTCCGGCCAATAGCGAGTATCATCGGGAGGATGAAAACTCTCCTTATAAGCCCGCCGATAATGATTTATTGAATACCAAGCTGAGCAATACCGGTCATAAGGCAATCTAGCACCACCATCTTGATTGGAACTAGCTGTTAAAACGTGTTGACATGGGATTTTCTATAATTGTGGTATACTACAAGTACAACTGCACTCCTGATCGTCGAGATGAACGGTGTATGTACCATCACAATCTTTAACCTCCCACTCATTGTTGTTGAATTGTTCAATTCTACATGTTCTCACAGCCACAATCCTTTTCTGCAAAATAATCTCATTTTTTGGAGTGTACTTACTCGTCCAATTTGCACTATCAATGCGCCTCTTATTAAAATATGCGTTCAATCTATAAAACGTCCTTGCAACTAAGGCTTGAATTGGCATAGCACGGGCACCCTTAAGTACGCCGTTGAAACTTTCGGAACAATTAGTTGTCATCATACAATATCGTACTCCACCATCTTTACATAATGCCATCGATCTTCGTATTGCGGCTTCAAGTTTTGTTCAATCCAATCGTGGGCTTCAAGTGATATGGATTTAATTTTCTCTCTACAATGCTCATATACCAGTGAGTCAGTTGCACAACCAGCTTGCCATAATAGATTTTGTAAATTGACCTCTCCATGTTTTTTCTTAAAATTAGCTCTTATATGCCGCAAGCAATATCGGTGATGATGTGGTGCACTCCACCCCTCGTGCAAGGCTCGTGGAATTCCTTTCATCCGGTCAGAAATAAAGGTAATAACTCGTGGACTTTGAACAGTCGGAATATATTTGTAAATACATTGAAAAAACCACTTCCAACTCGATGTATCCTCCACCTCCATAACTGCAAAAGCTATAGGAAATAGCCCACCATTTGCATCTACACCAGTCGCAACCAAGAGCACTCCTTTGTACTTGCCATATAAATGTGTTCCATTGATACTTAAGAGCGGACGACAAAAAGAGAACCCTCTGATAGCGGGCCCAAATGCCCAAAAAACACGTATGAACCTCTCCATTTCTGGTGCGACCTCCTTAGACACTATGTCATATTCGGTACCCGGATTTTTCCGCATAATTGCTGAAAGGTAATGCGGAAGTATTTGGTAAGATTCCTCCCAATCTCCAAAGATTTTAGTCAATGCCTTCCTCCGTGCATCATATGCTTTAAACTTGGATATTGTTATTCTTTTCATGTCATATACCCTTGTAATTATCTGTCCTGGAGTAATATCAAGTTCCCGCCTAACTTCGGGTATAATTAGCTTTGTGATATAAGAGGAAGTCAAAGTCTTATGATCATAAGTTGCAGTCGAATTAGAACATGTATGGACTCCGCAATAACTAGAGATTATAAATTGGCCAAGTGATTTTTTCCTAATAGCTGCATTAAGCTTCCATGGACACTTTGAATTTCTATCATCTGCAGCACTTGTATTCTCTTCTTGACCTCTCTCATTAAAGTAACACTTTACATGATAGCTAGTTGTGTTGCTTTTCACCGTCTTGAATTTGACCCGGTTTTTTATTGTCCATTCACGTATAGCGAAAATTAATGTTTCCTTGTTCTCGAAAAGATCTCCTTTCTTGAAAGTAAAGTCCTCGGATGGATCGAAATTAGGGCCAGGATCGACGAACTCAGCTTGTGAGGCATTTATCCACTCATCATTTTGAAACTCTTCTGGCAACGGCTCTTCAGACTCTACGTAGTCGTTATTTACGCAATATTCATCCATCCAACTTACGTCATCATTGGTCTCTCCAATTGCATACTGCATACTATCAAGACGTTCATCCTCTTCAGCATCTTCAGTATCATCATCGGCATCTACATCCTCATCATTATCCTCTACTATTATAGAACCCCCCGGTAAATCAACTGAAACATGACCCGGCGAGTTGTGGAACACGTCATTTGACATTGCACCCGACTCATTTTTAAAGCGCATGGCACTTTGAGATAACGAGATTTGATTATCAAGCATGCGGGAGAACTCTCCACGAGCATATGAAACTTCAGCGACCGAATACACTGGAATATTTTCAATAAACAACTCGATTGATACTTGTTTTTCCGCAAGCTGTATCATGTTATTCAATTCTTCATCATTGGTGATCTCTACAGCAATTGTTCTTTGATCATTTATTGGAAAATTACAGAAGATCTTAATGGAATTTTCGACGTGATTAATTCCAGTAACTATGTATATTTGTGCCACCAATCTATCAAAGTTGTAATTTCTGGACAACATGAACATTTTCTTAGAGCCTCCATCGTATATAGGCATATTATTCATTCCAACGCTCAGTTTTCCATTGAATAAGCAAATAATCGGTACTCCGTTCGCCATTTTAACTGAAGCATTAAAATTCATCATATAATAATTATATTTTTTTCCAGAGATTTTTCTAGACCATAATCATATATTTCTTCTAGATATACAACATTAACTAAACAATACATATAAATTTATGGAAAAATTAAAATTTGTACCTTGATTAAATCTCAGATCTCCTCGGCCTCGCAGAGAATCAACGACGTCGGCGTCAGATTTGAGGGAGGAAGAGGTGAGTTGGGTTTGGGGGAGAGAGATAGGGATTGTTGGGTTTGGGAGAGAATGAGAGCTTTGATCGGCTTGGGAGAGAATGAGAGCTCGGGAAAGAGAGAGGGGGAGATCTAGAGTTAGAGCTCAGGAGAGAGTGAGAGAGAGAGAGAGAGGGGGGGGTGCTCGGGAGAGAGAGAGGGAGATGGCGAGAGAAAAAAACGAAGGGGGAAAATGTGCCCTAGTTTGGGTATATATATAGTCTATAATTATACGGGACTAGTAGTCCCGTACAAATTGCAGACCAGCTTTAGTGCTCGCCAAATCCACGGGACTAGTAGTCCCGTGGATTTGCTGGGCAGAGGCTTAGCTGCCTCTGAAAAATCCACGGGACTAGTAGTCTCGTGGATTTGCTGGGCATAGGCTTAGCTGCCTCTGAAAATCGTACGGGACTACTAGTCCCGTAAGTTTTGATTTGTGCACACAAAATATACGGGACTAGTAATCCCGTATATTTTCTGAGTGCACTTAACGTTAGATTAGTTATCTTTAAACATACAGGACTAGTAGTCCCGTATGTTTTCTGAACCCTTTTTCAAAATCGACCTCTTTTGCCAAAAAACGGTCTATTTTGCTAATTACTTCAAAAAACGGTCTATTTTGCTAATTACTTTATAAAAACGGTCTATTTGCAAATTTTCCCTTAAAAATATCAAACCATGCGGAGGGGGATTTTGAAATTTTAAATTAAAATTTTTCTTTTTAAAAGCAGATTGAAAAGAGGTTTTTTATTAAAGGATATTGAAAAGGGGTTTTGGATTTTTTTAATAAAGAAATAAAAAGAGGGAGAGAGGACAGAATAGAAATGCAAACAAGAAAAGTGCAAATGAAAAAAAATAAAATAAAAGTAATAAAAAAATAAGAGAAAAGGGGAAGGAAAATAGAGAGATAAAATAACTAGAAAACATGTAAAAATCAAAAGAAATAGAAAATGGAAGAAAGATGACATCTAACAAAACTAGGGAATAAAAGAGAGAGAGAAAGAGATTTAAACTAGAAAATTAGGATAGATTCTACAAGATAATTATTTATTAGATCTAGAAATTATTTTTTATTTATTTTTAGAATTAAAAATCATAACATATTACTCTAATTAAACAAAGCATAGATTATCAAGATAGATTCTCAAAAATGAAATTAAAATTTATGCATAGGTAATCAATTGAA